TGTATTACCTTTAGTAAAACTTTACTCACATGGGATATCAAAGATACTGTCTGATGATTTCCACATTCCATTGGGTCACCTCTCTTTGGAATGGGCACAAATATGGATCTCTTCCAATTAGTTGGCCAGACAGTTGTCTTCCAAATTTCTTGGCACAGATGAGTGAGTTCCTCCAAAGTGAGATTTCAATTTTTATTCTATCAATTCCTGCTGCCTTGTTCTTTGCCAATTCCTTCAATGAACCTTGGACATCTTCCTTCAGTATCATTGATTCTTGATCGTATGCTACCTCTTAAAACAATCTGAACATCAACCATTTCCTTTTGGTACAGTGACTGTACTCCTTCCATCTTCTTTAGATGCTTTCCGCATTATTCAATAATTTGCCCAGAGAATCCTTCAATAACCAAAGTCGAGGCTTGAATTTTTTTCTTCAGTTCCCCCAGCTTGAGAAATGCTGAGCATGTTCTTCCCTTTTGGTTTTCCGACTCCAGATCTTTGCACATTTCGTTGTAATAACCTCATTTGTTGTTGTTGTTAAATGCCGTCGAGTTGGTTCTGACCAATAGCGACCCTGTACAGGGTTTCCCAGGCTGTAAATCTTCATGGGAGCAGAAAGCCTCATCTTTCTCCCGTGGAACAGCTGGTAGTTTCGAACTGCTGACCTTGCAGTTCGCAGCCCGATTCATAACCACTACGCTACAATAGCCTCATATGCACATACAAATTGGAAAATGAGTAAGGAAAACCATTGAACAATTGATACATTTGAGTTATGGTATTGGAGAAGAATATTAAAGGTGCCATGAGTGCCAGAAGAACAAACAAATCTTTGTTGCAAGAAGTATAACCACAACGCTCCTTACAAGCCAAGATGGCCAGATTGCATCTCTTATACTTCGGACATATTATCAGGAGGGACCAGTTCCTGGAAAGGAACATCATGCTTAATAAAGTGTAGCATCAGTGACAAAGAGGGAGATTCCCAATGAGACAGATTGGCACAGTGGCAGCAGCAACAGGCTCAAACATAGCAGCAATTGTGAGGAAGGCATGGGACTGGGCGGTGTTTCGTTCTATTGTACATGAGGTAGCTATGGGTAGGAACCGATTCAACAGCACCTACCAACAACACAGTACTATTTAGAAATGTCAATTCTAAGATATTCTCTAATAAATTTTATATTCCTTCTTGAATTTGTTTCTCTTGCCATACATATTAATTTCCATTTTAACCCAACTTTATTTTAACAGGTCGAGGCAGACTTCCAATTTTGGCCAAAAACTACTAACTTTTAAAGCGTGAAGGATAGGACAGAGAACAGTCATCTAGAGGAGATGGGGAAAATAATTGGAAAAAAATCTCTTGCCTACTCAAAAAGCTTCTCATAAGAGAAAAAAGTTTTATCTTGACTAAGTGTAGTGGTTACGAATCGGGCTGTGAACCTTAAGGTCAGCGGTTCGAAACTACCAGCCGCTCCGCGGGAGAAAGATGAGGCTTTCTACTCCCGTAAAGATTTACACCCTCGGAAACCCTGTATAGGGTTGCTATGGGTCGGAACCGACTTGATGGCACTTAACAACAACAACAACAAGCATTAAATCAGACTGTGAGATGCATCACACACAATCTGCTACAGCAAAGTCAGAAATCTTTCATACAACCAGGCAACTGAAACCCATTACAAATATGTTCTCAAGATAAACTAGCCCTAAAATAAGACTTGAGAGTACCACTTACCACACACAGTTTATCTTAAACTCACCCAGTAACTGTAGTAGCCAATCTGTCTAAGCTAATTGCCCGTATTCAAAGTTATAATAAAACTTTTCATGTCTACCAGTTAGATAGGTAGTTATAGCTTAGATCCAAATACCAGAGTTAAACATGAGAGGCAGAGATGCTATTTTTCCTGGATGTTTACATTTCAGAGAGGTGGCTCCAGGCCCCTCGGAAAAAACATTTCCAGGTTGTAAAACTACCAGGAGGCTTAAAAGAGCGGCCTGCTTTTCAAAAAGGCAGAGAAAGACATTTTAAATTACAAGTCTTCTACAGGAAATGCTTTTAGGAAAGGAAGGGTAGAGTTTTTTAATTGTATTCACCCTTACATGGAATCCAGGTGTGGCACTGTAGGATAAGCACTGGACTGTTAACTGCAAGATCAACAGTTCAAACCTACCAGTCGCTCCTCAGAAACGCTATACAGGGCTGCTAAGAACCAGAACCAAGTCCACAGCACTTAATACCACCACCCCTTTACATGGACAGTGGTCAGCTCCATGCATGACAGAATATTCACTTTTCTGAGGACATTATTTTCCTAACAGAAATATCTTAAGCTAGAATTTTAAAGAAATTTCCAGAAAATAAAAATGGCTCAATACCTTCATAACTTCTTCAAGATACCGTGTTGAACTTCCATTTGCATATGCAGTTTGTATCACTCCAATATTCAAACTTTCTCCAATCTAAACAAAAACAATCCTTAACTTGCCAACAGCAATAGGAGTCCACAAAAAACAAAATATGAAGAGAGTTCTAAAGGATGGCATGACATTATTAGCCATTTCAGCCATGGTTTATTATCCTGGCTTGTTTAATAAATTACTTACTGAGAATTTACATGTACGCCAGAAAACAAAGATAAAATGTTTCTGAGCATTATTTAAAGTAATTTCATATCGTATAAAGAAGCCTGTAATATGAACAATCATCTCTTCCTCTAAACTCTTATTTTTTCAAAATAAAAGTATTTACAGAATTCTTAAAATTAAATATATTTTTACAAAATTATGATTTCTTGTTGTGCACTATACTAAAGGCAGTCTGAGAGCTAGTTACAAAAGAACAAAATATTTCACATTACAAATCTCATCAGCATCATAAATAAATAAAAAGCTAAAACTCTGCTAGTCTAAGAAAGAAAAGAGTATCTCCAGGCTCTAAAACTAATGCCCAATGTTGAAAAGACAAAAATGATCATTTCTTTTTGCATTTCCTAGCCACAAACATAAGAAACTTTCCATAAATTGCAGCTTTCAAACTATCTGATATGGAATTATTTCAAAAGTAAATCTTGTTTTCATGGGTAACCAATCACCCCACCATACCTCCAACAGAAGCTCTTTAAGAAAACTGCTAATGAGCGTTGCTATTTTGTCACCATCTATGAGATGAAAATGACCATCAGCATCTTGGTAGTAATAAACAATTCTGTCTGCATCCCCATCAAAGGAACAGCATCTTTCATTGGACTTCATTTCCATTCCTAGCACACAGAATTAAAAAAGCTCATTTTATTCACTATTGTAAGTTATTCTCTCATTCTAGATACTGAGGAAAATTATTCAATAAAGTACGATCTAACCGGCCTTACATGTTGCAAATAATATGTCTATGATTTGCCGATGCGATATTTATAGTTATCCTTCCACATAAAAAACAATGCCATAATCTATAATTTTATACAAGTTTATTGGTGGTTTTTGGAGTCCTGGTGTGGCGCTGTGGGTTAATGTGCTACACTGCAAAGTTGGTTAGAACCTCAAGATCAGTGGTTCAAGCTCACCAGACGATTCTCGGAAACCCTATACAGGGTCACAATGAGTTAGAATTGACTCAACAGCTCTTAATAACAACAACATTATTTTTACAGTTGAAATTTTACAGCAAATTGAAAAGGGAACATTCAAAATGTTTTAAAATGCTAAAATTAAAATTCCATTTTAATTGGTAAGACAGGTTTCCTATAAACAAAGCCAGAAAACATGTTTAAAACGCAACTCCCTGGACCCCAGTCCTACAGAGGCAGAAACTATGGGCTACGGTCCAGCAATGATCTCAGGCTTTGTTGACTGTGCTGCTTTGGTCACAATAGTATCGTCTCTCACTTTATCTGAATTAGAAACATGATGGATTAGCAAATACAACTCTATTTAGTTATGATTGTCTACAAAATCAGTGTTTTCCACAATGGCCATATTAGGAGATAGGCTTCAAAGAGCTTCCAAAACAAAATTACAATGCTAGTACTACATACCCTCAGGAGGTTTCTGATGACTTTTCACAAAATCAGCACCACATAAGTGATTGAGTTTCCCTCTGGTCCCATCATTAAACAGGTGAACTGACAGCCCCTGTGAGAAGTAGTCTTCCATTTCTTTTAGCTTCAGGGCCCCTATACCATTTGCACAGTCGACCTTAAGTGTTCTGTATTCATCCCCACTGCAGGAAATCTTCAAAGGCAAAAGATACATGGAAGAACATTCAAAGTATAAAAACAAAAGTGAACTGTGTATTTATTGTCGTTAAGTGCTATCGAGCCTATGGTTGTGTGCCAATGAGTTAGTTCCAACTCATAGTGACTCTGTAGATGGTTTCTAAGACTGTAAATCTTTACGGGAGTAGAAACCTCATCTTTCTACTGCTGAACAGCTAGTAGTTTCAAACAGATGACCTATGGTTAGCAACCCAGCTGGTAATCCATTACGCTACCAAGATTCCTTGAATACGTGCATATTTGAGCATGGTGGCTCCATACGGTAAGCACTGGGCTGCAAACCACAAGGTACAAGGTACACAGTTTGAGCCTGCCAGCCACTCCACAGCAGAAAGATGGGGCTTTCTGTTCCAGCAAAGATTTAAAAGGCTTGGAAACCCTAAACAGAGTGGCTATGCGTTGAAGCCAATTTGAAGGCGCTTAACACACACACATAGATATAGATAAACACACACACAAACCAGACCCAGGGCCATCAAGTCGATTTTGAGTCATAATGACCCTTCATTGGACAGAGTAAAACTACCCTACCCCATAGGGTTTCCAAAGCTGTAAATCTTCATAAGCAGACTGCCACATCTTTCTCTCAAGAAGCAGGTTGTGAGTTTGAACTGCTAACCTCACAGCAACAGACTGCTTTAATCACTGCACTACCAGAAATCCTTTATATACAAGGAAGCTTCAAAAATTTCACAGAAAATTTCTATCTTTTTAATTTCTCACAAACTTTCTGAAGCACTCCCGTTTATTTACACACACACACATATATGGAAACACCTCAAACAAAATTCACTGCCATAAAGTCAACAACAATTCATCACAACCCTACACAGACTTTCTGAGACTACAAGCTCTATGGGAGCAGAAAGTCTCATCTTTCTCTCTAGAAGCAGCTTTTGGCAGTGGGTTTGAACTGTCAATCTTGCAGTTAGAAGCACAATGCCTAAGTCACAGCATCAATATTATAAACACCCTCCATTTCCTCAGTTGACCCATGCATTTTAACACAATAAACAAGTAAGTTCAGATGTTCTTAAAGGAATGGGTAATATGGATGGTATAACCAGTTAAGGCAATCTATTTCTAATCAATCAGCCATTTGGTAAAATTTAAGTCTAAAGATTTGAGTGAAATCATGGAGCACATCTGAAACACATTGGGTTGTTGTGAGTCAGAGTGGACTCGTTGGCAAATGGTCTATACGACAGAATACTAAAAATAAAAATTTTAATTTTTAAATATTCTGGACACTAGAAAGTTTTGAGACTACACAACTCAATAATTTGACAACTCAAGGAAATGGAATTTTATTAGAATTTAGCCTAAATTAAGCAAAGTCTGTTGAAAAAACCATTTCACGATATATATTACAAGACTGCCTTTCAAAACAAATGTTGAGAATAAACATATAAATGAATGAGCAGTAAAAACATCTCTCATTCACTAACCCTCTACTTTGCTTTATAAGGGGGCTTCAAAAATTTTGTGAAAAAATGAAATTACAAGATAATGAAAAATTTTCACAAAACTTTTGAAGTCACTTTGTATTCTTCATAGCACATAAGGATAATTCAAAAAGCATTGCTACAGGAAAAAAAAAAAAGGAGGGAGCAGCCTAAAGCTTATTATTAAAATGTATGGCTTTGTGCTTAGTTTTTGAAAAAAGTAAGTAACATGAGAATCTAACACATCCTTTTCCAGTCTAAGATGGAAAAGACATAGCTGTTAAATCAAGTTAGGCAATCAGTACACTGGTGCTTATCGTGTTTGTAAAGGGTTAGATAGTTCAAGTGACTACAAACTGAACTCACAAAAAAGGTAAAAGTCACCATAAAAAAATATACTGTTATTTAGGTCCAAGAGAGTGTCTCAACTCAGGACTGGTTTTATGTGATCTCTAATTATAAAGTCTTATATAGCAAAATGATGGCGTATTATCAACTATCCCTTGTTTTGGACTGCTGGTGTGGCGCTGTAGGATAAGCTCTGGACCACAGTTCAGTTTAAACCACAACATTGGCAGTTCAAACCCACCAGCCATTCCTTAAAAACCCTGTAGAGGGTAATGATGAGTTGGAACTGACTTGATGGCACTTAACAAGAACATCCCCCTTGTTCTGGGGTCCTGGCATGGCACTATCGGATAAACAATAGGCTGCTAACCAGGAAGTCAGCTGTTCAAACCCGCCAGTCACTCCTCAGAAATACTATACAGGGTCACTATGAATGAACCCACTCAACAGCAACAACCATCACTCCTTTTTTTTTTTTTTTGGAGCCCTGATGAAGCGCTGTGGGATAAGCAGTGGACTGGTAACCATAGGTCAGCAGTTTAACCCACCAGCCACTCTCAGAAACCCTATACTGCTCACTATGAGTTGGAATTGACTTAATGGCACAAAACTATACACACACACACACACACA